TCTCTCCCTCTCTCCCTCTCTCCCTCTCTCTCTCTCTCTCTCTCTCTCTCTCTCGCTCTCTCGCTCTCTCGCTCTCTCTCTCTCACTCTCGCTCTCTCTCTTTTTCTTTTGGCTTGGTCTAATCATGTTTTAGAAAAATAGAGATTTTGCATTCACTCCCTGTCTTCCCACGGAAGCTATTTCATTCTAATTCTCCTCAAGGTAAAGATTGTTTTCTCTAGTGGATAATGAGAAGTACAAGTTCTTTCTGAAATGGAGAAATCCTCCCTAGGCATTGGCTGGTGAGTTGTACTGAGCCACCCCACTGATGGTCCTTCCCCGCAACAACAATTAGTCTCTTTGCCTGGTGAAGTGGTTGGATTAATAATGAAATTTCTCCTCCTCGGCAATAATAACATGATGGGAAGACTCACATGATTTTCCAGGGGAAGTTTAGACAATCTCAAAATTAGGCGGACAGATTAGTAAGGGAGACATTAATGTTATGGCTTGCTAATGCAATAGCCCTGAGCTAAGCATCAACACGATTGTCCTTGCCTCAAACTCATGTGCTTCAGTAAGCACAGACAGTTTGCACACCACAAGACAAGTTAGGGGAAAACTGAAGTGATGGCAGAGATGTGGGTGGTACATTTTCTTTCTTACCAAACTTCCCAACAAAATTATCTACACCCATTGTCTCTACTTCCTTACCACCCATTCTCCCCTGGGTCCCTTACAATATAGTTTTTGTGCCCCACCCACCCCACCCCCACTCTGCTGAAACTTCTCTCAAAGGTGTCCCTCAGAGACCTCCCCTTGAAGCTTAAACATCACTTTGCACTTCTCCCATACACTTAATATTATATTATCGTTATGTCTGTCCTTTTCCTTAACTAGAAGGTTCGTGAGGGGAGAGACTGGGCCTTACATAAACTTTATATCTCCTTTTTGACAGTGCTCTTAAGTGATTAATGAGTGTTTATTTGAATTAAATTTCAGAGTATTTTCTATATAGAGGGTGACCCCAAAGTCTCAATGTAGCGTTAAGCTATTAATGCTTAAAGTTATTTAAGTTTAAAACGGCACTGGGACTTTTGGGAAACCCTGTATTACATCTTTGATCTCCTCAAACTCAACTCATATCCAAAACGGAACTCATGAGGGCAGGGATTTGCACAGAGTAGTAATACAATAGATTTTTGCACATAGTAGGTAGCTTATAATGGTAGGCTGTTGGCTGAATGATTGAATTAATGAATGAATCGATGTCAGAATTAAACTCCCTTTCACTGCCAGTGTCTATCTGATCACCAAAGGGTTTGAGGCTGAAAGCAGGAAATTTATCCCTATTTTCTATATTAATAGAAATCAGGAGTAAAAAGGAAACGGATGGTACTAGGGCAGGAACATAGACCACAGTAGATGAGAAAGTATCTAGTTACTGTGCTTGCGACCATTCTGAAGCTTTCTAGAGGTTTATGGGTTTGCCAATTACTGTATGTAATTCATATGTTCCATTCACTCTGGAATTTTTTTTCCTGATTCATATTTATTTGTGTTATTATAGGTGTGTGGACTCAGGTACACTATTGGTGGAACTGTGAATTGGTCTGACCATTCTGGAAAAATATTTTAGACTTATTAGAGTGCTCATATCCTTTGACCCAGAGATCCCGCTACTTGGCATATACCCCAAAGAAGATAGAAAGGGCTCATATATCCAAATACTCTCAGCAATACTTTTAGTATTAACAAAGAACTGGAAGGAAAGTAGGTGCCCTTCAATTTGGGAATGACTGGACAAACTGTGATATGAATGTAATGGAATATTATTACATCATAAGAAATGATGAAGAACTTAGATAAACATGGGAAGATTTGTATAAATTAATGTTGTCACTCTGGAATTCTTAAAGGCTACTGAGTTCCATGGAGGGATGATATTTGGCCCAAGCCCCTACCTAGTACCTATTCCACTGACGCACCAGGCTAGAACTATAAGTTAAATAGCAAAGTACTTAATTGGGCCAGAAAAACAAAATAAACAACAGAGAAAAGTCAAATCAAATCATTCTCAACCCCATCCCAAGCCTTGCCCTCCTGCACAAAACAGTAAAATCTCCCACTGAGTTGTAGGCCAGAGGAGAAGGGTTCTCAAGACCATTTCCCAAAGCACGTCCATGGAAAACCCATGTTTTGAGGCAGGGGAGAGTTTAACCTTTGATATTGTCCATAGCTAGAAGACATCTCCTGCCTGAGTCCTCCTGGCTCCTTTTCCCAAGCCACCTATTGTGCCTTTCTACTTTTCACCTCTACCTCCTATAGCTCCTTGGCATGGTCCAGGAACTCTTGTCACAGCCTTTCTACCCTACATCATTCTTGGTGAGAGCTGGAAGCCCGCTGCTCTGTTTCTTTCCTCCCTCTCTATAGCAGCCATCCACCAAAACTATGCGCCATTGCACCATCACCTTGCTGCTGCTTTTGGAAGGTGTGGGTCATTCTTTCTGAGTGAGACCACCCTGGCCAGCATGCCTCAGAGCTACTCAACATATTTTCAGCTATGTTAGTGTCTCAGCCTCACCCAGCTGGCACACAAAAGAACCACTCAGGAAGTTTTAAGACTTCCAGACGGGCCCTGTTCAACGAAAGCTCCCCAGACCTTGCTCCTAGCTAAGTGAAAGTGAGTGAATGTGCTTCTTTGCCACTTTGTAGTACACTAGAAACACTGAAAGAGGGAGGGACAAAATGTGGCAGCCTCCATCAGCATACCTGTCCTCATGGCAAAGCCCACGTCCGCCTCACACGTAGAAAAGCATGGTGACAATGCCAGTGATTGGGGGCAGCTAGGTGGCGCAGTAGATAGAGCACCGGCCCTGAAGTCAGAAGGACCTGAGTTCAAATCTGACCTCAGACCAAACACTTGACACTTACTAGCTGTGTGACCCTGGGCAAGTCACTTAACCCTAATTGCCAAAAAAAAAAAAAAAGACAGACAATGCCAGTGATTGCTTTGGCCTTTAGGGAGACATCTTTGGAAAAACTTGTTTTTAGACATTTCTGTATCATCCACTGTGCCTTACTATAACTTCACGCTCAACTAAGGGGCATTGAGTCATTTTGATGACTTTTGTCATTACTTTTATTTTTTTTTAAATCTTCCAATAGCTTGGGTAATCTCTTGTATTTAAGCAAAAAACTAGAGTGTCCCGCTACTAAGCAGCAACTTTTAGCCACCATTTCCTTCTGGTCACTAAAAACACTGGTCATTTCCTGTTTTCTCTGTTTTCACAAGCTTCTAATTCTCAGTGTCAAAAGGCTGCAACTCTTTTCTTTGGGTTTCTCTTTGATAACATTGATTCCGAAACAAAGGATGGGGGGCCTCCATTTGGAAAACAAAGGAAGCATGGCCTCTGGAAGAATGCTGGAGAGAATGTGCATGGTTCTTTCTGCCAATGATAACAAACCCTAATAATGGGAAAGTTGGATATGAAAGCAGGAATAGGAATCTGAGTGTGGGTGCTCTGCTTGGCTACTGAATATACCCTCCAGAGGCAATGTGGCATGTTGGAAAAAGCATTGGATTAAGTGTCTGTTAACTGGGTGCTAATTGTAGTTCTGTTGCTAATTAGCTCTATGATTTTTGGCAAGTCACCTCCTCCCACCTCAGTTTCCCCATCTGTAACATGAAAGGTTTTGAGTAGAAGCCTCCCAAAAGTCCCTTAAACTCAAACTTTCTGTGGTTCTTTTCTTCATATATGAGTTAGAGAGTTTTTTCTCTGATTCCTTTCTTTCGGCTTTTTCCCAACCAGATGTTCACTTTAACATTCAGATGTTGTGAAGTGAATCATACTGGGAAGTGGTACTCAATATCAGCTGCTTTAAAATTGATGAAGATGCCCCAAATCTGGCAATCCATGGTGTGGGGTGTACATGTATTGTCAGTGCTACTGTGACTTGGGAATCTCTCCATGGTTGGGCTAGCCATTTTATTCCATTGAGCTACTCAAACTTTGATTTGCTTACCTCTTTTGATATAAGCTTTCCAGAGTCACACTTAGAGTATTGAACTTGGAATCAGGAAGACTTCAGTTCAAATCCTATCTCAGATACTAACTAGCTACTAGTTGTGTGACCCAAGTCAAATGACTTAACTCTCTGAGCCTCACTTTCCTCATCGGAAAAGTGAGAGTAATAATAGCATCAACCTCAGAGGATCACATGAGGTAAATTCACTTAAAACACTTTGCCAGGGCAGCTAGGTGGCTCAGTGGATAGAGCACCAGCCCTGGAATCAGGAGGACCTGAGTTCAAATTATGCCTCAGACACATAACACTCACTAGCTGTGTGACTCTGGGCAAGTCACTTAACCCCAGCTGCCTCACCAAAAAAAAAAAACAACCCACAAAAAACAACCGAACCAAAAAAAAAAAAAGCAAACACTTTGCAAACCTGAAAGTGTTAAATAAATGTCAGCTATTATTTATTATTTGTATTATTGTTGTCATATGTACCATATAGTAAAATTACTTCCCTTACTTCATGCATTCTCATAAAGCAGATTCTCATTCCTCTCCATGTCCTTAGCTCATTTTTCTCTTTGTCCTTCTGTATAGATTCTCCTCCCCCACCATTTTCTCTTTGGTCAGGTTTTCTAGACAGAGCTGTAACTGTGGCAAAGTGCTTAGGACTTTGGTTTAATCTGAGCCATATTTGGAGACCAGATCAGGGAAGAAGGAAAGAGGCATCTCTGAGTCCCCCTCAAAGTGCCACTCTCCCTTCTCCTTAATGCTCTGACACAATCAGGTACCAGGAAGAGGAGTCCAAACAGAACCTCTCAGTTCCCCTGATCAACGTGCCTTTCTATCTCCATGCTCTGAGAGGTCCACTGGAGGGTATAGTGGGACATAAGACAGGAAGTGGGCTGAGGTTGGGACAGAAAGGAAAACCCACTGCTCATTAAAATGGTTTCTTTTGTAATCTTCCCTGTACAATTTTATTCTTTCTACTTTCTTGGCAGGATGGGAATCCCAGCATTGCTGCCAGACTTCAGGAAGCAGGCCCTCTCCAGAGTGCAGGCAGCTCCATTCCAGCAGCCACTGCGGCCACAGTGAATGGATGCATGAGAAACCATTTGCTCAAGCAGCAGATCCTGCGCAGGCAGCATATCATGCAGGTTGGAGTCATGCAGCTTCTATGGGCAATGTGTGCCCGAGTAGTTTGATAGATGTTCTTTGGTTTGTGGGAGTTGAGTTTCTTCTTTGGGTGGAGGGGGTTGGAAGGGAAGGTGTGGATCGCCTTAGAACACTTAACATTGCATCTCCAGTTGTCAGTTGTCCATGTAGATCCCAAAAGCTGCCATGACATACTACTGGCACTCCAGTTAGCATGCTTCCGTGGTGGAGTAAGTACAGAACTCAGTGGTGGAGCCACGAATTTTTCTGCCAGACTAGCTAGCCAAAGATTTTATGTAAGAGTTCTATGCCCCTTTGGCTAACCTATAGCTGGCTCCTGTGTTTTAGAGCAAACTTATTGCTCTTTCTGGCCCTGCTCTGTCCCTCCCTCTGCCAACTCTGAGATGCTTCAGGATTGTGGACTAGGCTAACAATGGCCTACTTGCCCCTTCCATTCTTGCTTTTCCACTGGAAGACATTAAGCTCCCTATCTGGTCTCCCAGTAGGTTTGAGGCTAAATACAGCTTTCTCTCTGGATTTGAAGGGTGTCGGGAGTTAAAGGAGAAGAACGGTTGGCAATGAGAGCTCAATTACTTACTGTATCAGATGATTTATTCATGGATGAATGCATGATGACCTTAGAGGTCAACTAGACTAACCTAGTCTTATCACACAGGAATCTCCAGTCTTTCCTTAAACACTTCCAACCTCACAAGACAGCCCTGTTCTATTGCTGAATAGCTCTAGTTCACACTGCTGTTGAGCCAGATGTGCTTCCCTGTATTCATTCAGGAAGCCTTTATTGAATGCCTACTCTGTGCTCAGTGTTGTGCCAGGTGTTCTGACAATACAAAATAAATGTAGGAAACAACCTCTGCCATCCTGGAGCTTTTGAGTTGGGGTAACAAGACACACGTAGGAATTTAATCCAGTCAGTCATTAATCAAGTCAATAAATATTTGTTAATTGTCTACTATATGCGAAGCCAAAGCTGAAAGAGTCATGCCCCCAAGGAGCCTCCATTCTACTGGGAGAGAAGTATAAAATATACAAACAGATTAAATAAATAAAAGATCATTTGAGATCTCGTTGAAATCTTTGGGGGGATCTGATAGGAGGTAGTGCCCAAGTTGAACCTGGAAGGAAGCAAAAGATATTAAGATAATATGACTAACAATCTAAGGCAATATAGGAGCAAGTGCGGAAAAAGAGGGACCCTGATACTAGGGGGTTTAGGAATTCTAGAGGAGGGTTCTAGCTTGGGGCATTCACTCAGTGACAAATAGGGGAAGCTAAATTCCTTTGAACTTGGAGAGAAAGCGGTAGTGCCCTGGCTTTGCGGAGAGCTATGTTCCAGCCTGGCATCCTGGGAATCTGCCTGGCCTGGGAAAGGTACCACCCTGACCCTCATCTCAAATGGGAAGACTAACTGGGAAATAAAGTCCAAAGTTGAGCTTCCTTTCCCTGAATTTTGACCCACCAATTCTGTCTCTAAGAAGTATTCATGGGATGAAAGAATGGAAACAAGCTTGCTTTCTTCCTTGCCCAATAAGGCAAGCTGTCAGGGGGCAGCTAGCAAAGCTACATTGAAAACCTATGATTCCAATGGAAGATACAAGATGGAAGGGTATTAATGCTCCTGACGCCTGTTGGTACTCTTCCATGTTTTCAAAATGAAGATTCCCAAGTGACCCAGAGCTCTCCAGGTCCCATCATCCACAGGTAACCCAGGACCCAACAGGGAAATCGCTTCTTACAAGTTACTTATGCAGAGGCCTGTCTCTCTGCCATGGCTGCCACAGGTTAGCTGAGCCCAGGGTCTCACAACACTCCTCAGTTCCTTTGCAACCTCACCACTTGACCGCAGATATTCTTTCCAAGGTAGTTACCAGTTCAAATCAGTGGGCTTTTTTCAATCTTCATCCGTCTTGATGCTGTTGATTACCTACTCCTCTCCTGGACACTCTCTCCTCCCTTAGCTTGTGGTTCTCTTGGTTCTCCTTTCCTATCTGACTTCCTTTTCATGCTCCTTTGTTGAATCTTCATTATCATTTTCCTCTCCACTAAATGTAGGCAATCCCCCAACACTCTGTCCCAGGCCTTTTCTTCTCTCTCAATTCTCTACTCTCTCGGGGTCAATTATGACCTCTATATAGATGACAACAAATCTTTATATATCTGGACCTCGTCTTTCTCCTGAAGTTCACCCTATATAGCCAATTGCCTACTAGGCACTTCTACCTGAATGTTCCATAAACATTTCAAACACAACATATCCAACCAGAACCCATTCTATTTTCCCCCATGTCTGTTGAGGACACCATCATCCTATCAGTTACCTAGGCTGACAACCCTGAAGTCATTCTTTGACTCTTCCCTCTCCCTCATTAAGCTGCCAGGTCTTCTTGATCCTACACAATGTCTCTTCCATCTGTCCACTTCTCTCTGCTCATACAACCTTTCCCCTGGTTCCCAGGTCAGGGTTTATCACTTCTCAACTGAACTACTGCGATAGCCTCCTAATTGGTGTTCCCACTTCCTGTCTTCCAAACTATCTTCCAATGGCTTTAGAGAAACCTGGAAGACTTGTATGAACTGATACAGAGTAAAGTAAACGTAACCAGGAGAATAATTTATATAATTACAGCAATATGGTAAAGGCAAACAACCTTGAAAGAATTAGAAACTCTTTTCAGTGTAAAGACCAACCAGGATTCTAGGGAACTAATGATGAAGCAGCCTACTCACCTCTGGACGGAGAGGTAGATGGAGGACTCAGTGCAGAATGATTCGAGGTTTTTTTGGACATGGCCCATGTGGACATTTGTTTTGATTGACTATAAATGTTTGTGACAGGTTTTGTTTATCTTCTGTTCTCAACAGGGGAAGTGGGGGTTCTAAGGATCAGAAGGCAGAGTTTTGTCAATTAAAACAAATAAAATATTTTTAAAGGAAAAAAGAAAGATCCATCCTCCACACCGCTGCCAAGTTAATATTCCTAAAACACAGATCTCGCCACACACCTCCCTTTCAAAACATTTTAATGGCTCTCTATTGCCTCTAGGATAAAATACAAATATCCTCAGCCTTACATTGAAACCTCTACAACCCAGCTCCACCCACAGCTCCAATCAAATTTTATATTACTCTGCTTAATGTACTCTCTGTTCCAGTCAAATGACATTTTATCTCTCACCTCTTTGCCTTTACATGGGTGATCCTCTATGTCTCACCTCTACCTTCTAGAATCCCTGACTTCCTTCAAAACATAGCTCAGTTGCTCCCTCCTATTCAAGGCCTTACCAAAATGATTTTTTGCACACTTTGTCTTTACTTTCTTGTATTCATCATGTTGCATCACTCCAAGTAGAATGTGAGCTTCTTGAGGGAAAGAACCATTTCATCCTTGTCTTTGTATCTCCAGTGGTGCCTCAAATTGCATTGCATTGAATTGGACAAGTTAGATGGCTTCAGGTGAGAGGTGCAAATGACTGGCTGTCATTTTACCTTTACCAAATCTGTGTTCAGGTATTGATGTCCCCATTCATTCTCCCATACCCAGACGGCGCCATAGGCCTCCCTCACGTAGCGCTTGCCAGATACTGTTCCTCATCAGTGTTTTAATAGCTCTAGTGTAACATGTCTTTTTCATTTTCTCTTTAGCAGGAAAAGCAGAGACCAAATGTCATGGCAGTGCCATCTGACCAGCGGGCTCCCTTTCTCTGCCAACAGATGAGTCAGTTTTCAAGTAAGGAGATAATCTCACTGTTACTCAAACTTTAGAGGGGACATGAGGTCTAGAAGCTAGCAAGGCCTTTCATGAAGTATTCCTTGCTGGAATCTGTCATCCTTAAAGCTCATCATGTGGTATAGCCATTTGCTTATGGCCCAAGTGACATCCCATTGAGAGAAAGGTTTTCCAAACTGAAAATGTCCTATTTAGCTCAAGAGAGAAATCAAAATAAATTTGTCTCTTAAAGACCAACAGGTCCTGGGCATGGTAGCACATGCATATAGTCCTTACTGCTGAAGCGACAGAGGCTAGTGGATTGCTGGGGCTTAGGAGTTCTGAGCTGCAATAGGACTAAAGTCAGTTGGGTGTCCATACTAATTGTGGCACCAGTGTGGTAATTCTTCTAGGGCAGAAATTCACCAGGCTACCTAGGGAGGGGAAAACCAGCCCAGATCAGAAAAATGGAGCAGGTTAAAGCTTCTGTGCTGATTGATATTAGAATCAGGCCTATGCCCTTCCAGCCAGGGTGAGATAGGAGACCTAGTCTCAAAAATAAACAGATAGAAGGATGGACAGACAGACAGATAAAGACTAGGCAAAGGTCTAACTAGATATCATTCTGAGAGTAAATTCAAAGTACCATAAGAAAAACAGACTTGGGGGGTGGGAGGGCAAAGATCTGATTCGTGACTCTGCTTTCTCCTAACTCACCTGTACCTTGTGGGTCAGGTGATGCCTGGTTTTCTCCTACCCAACACTTCCCCCTGGCACTTCCATCCTCCTCCTCCCCCCACACTGCACCTGGTGAAGCTTTTCCTACCCACCCCACCCCTGTCATGCCACTAGAGCAAAAATGTCTCATTTACCATGTTCCTTTCTTTGAGCAGCCATGCCACAGCAGATGACTTCTGACTGTGGCCAGTCCATGCCGACTCCCTCACCTAATCCTCGCAGGATGCCATCCACACCTGGGATCCTTCAGAGCACCTTGACCCCTGGAATCAGTTCAACTACTGGAAACCAGAGCACAGGGGGCATGGTTATGATCCCCCAGGCCCCAGGGAAACAACAGGGTATTTTTCCCTCTGGCTCCGACTTTAATGTCCCCATTCGACAGAACCAAACTTCAGCTAGTCTGAGCTCCGTCAGCCAGACGGTTCACAGCAGTCATTCAGCAGTCAAGCCTGGAATGACCCTGCCTGGGTTCAGTTCCAGCTCCTTAGCAAACCAATCTGCAAGCCCTCACCAGTTACGGCAGCCCAATATTCCCCGGATCTCCAACATGTATCCCAATTCCTCCCCTCAGGCCTGGATCTCTACAGTGGCCTCTCGAATGCCCAATCAGAGCCAACTAGACACCAGCATTCAGCAGTTCTCCACCAACCCTCTTTTCTCCAAACAAAATGTGAGATCCACTCTAACAGGTCAACAGTTTTCACCTCAGTCAGTGATACCCCCCAATCAGATTGCCCCTGGAGTCAGGCAGATTCCAAAAGTGAACATAGGCCAGCCTGCTCAAAGCCTCAACATGCTCAACAGCCAGAGTCTGAGGCAAAGTCTAACCAGAACCCCATTGCCAGCTATGAATGTCATGAAACCCCTCCCCCAAAGCGTGTCCAGTTTCAACCCAATCAGCCCAGCCCAAGGCATCGAGCCACCGAGCTATCCCATCACAAGCCAGGCGTCTGGGACCTTCAGTAGGATGGGTGCTTCGGCCGAGCTGCCCCAGTATGATTTTGGCCCCCAGCAGAATGAGTCCATTTTGCCAGACAGTTGCAGTGAGACAGACTTCATCGATTCCCTCATGAAAAGCAGCAGCAACAATGATGAAGAGTGGCTGAACAACTTGAGAATGATCGATGACATCTTGGGGCAGCACACTCAGAGCTCTGGTCACGTTTAGCTCTCAGCAGGTACCCAGATTTGATCCCCTTCTTCCCTGGCTGGGGGGGGGGGTGAGGGAAAACAAAACAGAAAAACACAGACCCACTAGACACACAACACACACACACACACACACACACACACACACACACACACACACAAAACCCCAACCGCACAGGCACATACCCAAAGCTAGTTTTTGTCCATCACTGAGTTGGAGCCAGCTCTTTACCTGTGACAAGGTTGAATATTGGCCATTTTTCAAGTGACTGTATATATCCAAATTTTGTAAATGGTGTTTTCTTAAGCATTCAATATAGAAGTATTATTTATACTTCTCTTTGTGACAGTTTGTAAATAAATCTCTGGCTTACGTATTGTTTTATTATAGAAGTTTTGCTTGTTACACCTTGTTACAAATATGCAAATCATTTTGTTAGTTTCCGTAATACTGTGTATTACCGCTTGAAACACGCGTGTGTTTGACATAATGTAAGACAAACTAGGGGTGTTAGGTAAACTGAGCAAGTGGCAATTGGAAGACCAGGAACACAAATGCCTTGGGACTTCTTGTCTCCTTCCCATTTCTCTTGGATGCCTCAGATGAGCATGCTAAGTGTCTAGCGTGGAGATGGGCTAAACAGCAACCTCCTCTGTGATGAGAAATACTGACAATCGGAAGGAATATGTTGAGCCCCAGACGGGCCACCCCAGGCAAGTCTCCTGGAGAAGCTCGCCTTGCTCTGAACGAAGACCTCGGAGAGACTGCAAAGCGTCCTTACCATTCTCATTCAGACTGGAAGAAAGGCTGCCTCCGGTCCCAGCACCCCTAGTGTGTATATCTGTAGTGTACAGGTGATTTGTTCCTGGTGGTAAGGCCTTTCAATATGTGTTTGAATGTAAGACTTGGAGTTCAGGAGAAGAGTCTATTGATATGAAGAGTTCATTTGGGATTTGTCTCTCTGATGGTTTCTGTCTGCAGCTACAGTCATGTATATTTAAGTGTCTGTTTATAGAAGAGCCACTGTATTGTAAATGCCTTAAAATGTTCATGCTTTGTGGAATCCTATTTTAATAGTCACATCCTACTTCAGCCATACATTTGTAATATAGCATCAGCTTTGAGCACAGGATGGTTCTTCCTTCATGCCATAATAAACTGCCATGAGAGAACTGCATAACTGTGTTCATTTTGTTCATTGGCTCTGAGTCTGCCTGTGTCTTACACTCCTTCCGTGACTCCTTGCTGCTGTGGGGCTCGTGCGTATCTCCTGATGAATAGGGTAGAGAAAGAAAGGATTTCCCCAATAGTTCAGATCCCTTGGTGACCAACTTTTAAAACCTCAGATAGAACATTAGGCTTGACCTAGAGAGACTTCAAACTTGGTCCAATAATTCAGCACACTTCAAATTCCTACACCAATACGACAGGGCATTATATCTGACTGGGGCAGTCAGTTCTCTGTTCCTTCCTTTTCTGCCTCTGTGTAAATCTTGGTGAGTTACTTTAGACCTTTCCTTTTCGGTTCGGACCTGGTTGCTCATTAGTGTTAGGAAACTCCCAGTGTGGAAACCCCTTCCACCAGTGCAGAGCAAGAACTCCCTTAGAATTCATTTATTCTAGTTCCTTTACAGAGAAGGAAACTGAGATCCATGGTAGTGAGGTAACTTGCCCAAGGTCACACATCATAGAATGTGGATCTCTGATCCTGTGTTTTCCATTAGAAAAAAAAAGAGCACTTATACTTACTGGGCACAAGAATAAAAGTCTTCTTAGTATTATTCTGTAAGGTGGAGTTCTATGGAGATTATTCTGTAAGGTATCGAAAAGATGGCCCATTCAAAGATATCAGCACTGCCATGGATCAGTAATGTTTCAATGGGAAAGCCATTGAAAGACAAAATCAGGATCACCTTTCATTCCCTATGTAGGCAAGCCTTTGAAAAGTGGTATCAGATGGCAGTTCTCCTTCCCAAACAGCCCTGTTCCGTTGGAGAATCCTTGGAATAACAAGTCTCTGCTGCTTAATCAAGGCATTTAAAACAACAGCTAAGAAACTAAGTATGCGTAGTCTTTCTCACTCATACTCTTAATGACCCAAACAGAACACCCAGATCAATGCTGGGGAGGGGAGGAATGGGAGTGGGGGAGATTGGGGGGGGGCTAGAGGTGAGCAGGAAGGTGTTGAAACAAGGGAAACCAGAGAAGTAGCTGAGATTCAATCACTTCTCTCACTGCTACTGAGCCCATTCTTCTGGTTTATCAGTTAATATGTGCAGTCTACCAAGGTGGGTAGGAGAGGTAAAGGGAGGGAACCCCAATGATGTCTGCTGTGCCCTGCCAACCTAAGCTGTTTGGAAGACAAGCAAGAGAGTCAGTTGGTCACTCCAGGCCCTGGATCACTGGCTGCCTCCATAATCATTAGTATATACTTTAAGCCACAGCAAAGACCCCACTAGCTGGATGCATTTTCTTTCTTTACACTCTGTGTTCAATAAAGCAAGAGCATGGAAAAGATGAATTGCCATTACACTGTAGGGAGGGAGGACTATTTTGACACTGCTTGGCATAAATTTGGCAAACCAAGGGAAAGATGGATGCAGAACAATGGGGGAGATACAAAGATCAAATAAGGTTTTGGTGCCAGCTTAGGGTCTAGTGAAGAAGACACATTAAAAAAAAAACTACAATACAAAATGTGAGCATTTGATCCTCAGCCTTGGATAACATCATTAGTTCTTCTTTACCTATTCCTGTTTGCTGAATGAGGGAGAAAGTCACAAAATCAAGCTGATCTCTCCCACTGGAAATTTATGGTGAAGAATCTCAGCTGGGTCGTCACTGCTACTTAGCAATACTCGACTCCTATCAACTCCCTTTTCCATTCCTCCTTAAAGGCCCCTAACACCCACAGCAGATCATGTGACCACCTGCTGAGAAGACATGGGAGGGAGCATTGAAACATGTGTTCCCTTTCCACCTCTACTCCTTCCTAAGTCAAATCTCTCCCCATGCCGTTGCTCCCACCTCCTCCAAGACCTGGCTCAAAGCAAAGTGATAGAACATAGTGGAGAGAACATTGCATTTGGAGTCAGTTGACCTGGGGCTGATTTGGTTCGTGTTCCTATACTGCTTTCTAGCTGTATGACCATGAACACGTTATTTAATTTGTGTGAGCTTTGGTTTCCTCATTTGTAAAATGAGGACCTCTGGGAGTTCTTTTTTCCAGCTCTAAAACCCATGTTCCAATCATTCCTCTCTCATGAATTTCTAATCTCTCCCATCAGCTCACTATCACGCTCACCTCTCCCCCACCTGACAAAATAGCTTGATCCTCCCACCCCTTGTCTATACTAGATGCCTCCACTCTCTCCTTAACCCATGGTAGCCTGTTTTCCATCCTTAGCACTCTCTCTCTCTCTTTACCAGGAGCTGTATCTCTATCTCATGCCTTGATGTCTCTCCTTAGCTGCAAACCTTCAGAGCACCTTTACTTGGATGTCTTACCAGTACTTCAAACTCAGTATGTCCAAAATCAAACATTCTCTTTCTTCAAAAACATGCTCCTCCTCCTGAATTAATTATTTCTGTCATCGTAGCAAAAACACTCAATTTCCCATGTTTGACAAGAATTAAGCACCCTCTATATATGTATTGTGCTTTGTTGTTGAGTCATCTTTCAGTCATGTCTGACTCTTCCTGAGCCAATTTGGGATTTTCTTGCCAGAAATATTGGAGTGAAAAAAATTTAAAAATTAAAAAAAAAAAAGAAACAACAAAAAAAGAAAGAATGGAGAGGTTTACCATTGCCTTCTCCAGCTCATTTTACAGATGAGGAAACTAAGGTTAAAAGGGTGAAGTGACTTGCCAAGGGTCACACAGCTTACTGCTTCTGAGGCTGGATTTGAACTCAGGAAAACAAGTCTTCCTGGCTCCAGGCCAGACACTCTATCCACTGCTGCACCACCTAGCAGCTTACATTCTACAGAGAGTATATATACATTTAAACATATAAATAAATACACTATACTTGGAGGATAGAGAAACTACTAAAATCTGGGGGCAGGGGGGTGGTCAGGAAAGGCTTCTAAGGTTTCTAAGAGGTGGAAAGAAGAGAAAACATTCAAGGTATTCAGGATAGCCCATATCAAGGCACAGAGGTGGGCCATGGCCAGTTTAGTAAGAACAGAAAGTGAGTGAAAGGGAGTCATGGGATAGGAGTCTGGGAAAGAAAGGTGGAGCCAGTCTCTCCTGCACTTCACATGACTGTTCCTTATGGCCTGCCAGCTCTACCTCTACAGTGTCTCTCACATTCATCCCTCTCCTCCCTATTCCTGCTGCAGACACCTTCATTTCTATCTGCCAAGGTTATTGTAATAACTAATTGTAATAAATACCGAAAGTTTTCTGGCCTTTACTCTTTTCCTTCTTGCAATTCATCCTCTATAGTGTTTCTTAACTAACACTCATGGAATCTCAGAATTGGAAGGGACTGCAGGTGCCATCTAATCCAATCTATGCCTGAGCAAGTGTCCCTTCTATGACATCACCAGCAAGTGGGTGGTGGTAGGGAAGGTGCCAATGCATAGAGAAAGATTAAAAATGAAAAAGAAGGAAGGACTGAGGGAGTAAGCTCCAGAAGAACCATAAGGATCAGAGTTGTAGAACTGGAAAGGGCATTAGAGATCAGCTAGTCCAACCCCATCATTCTACAAAAGAGGAAACTGAGGTTAAATGACTTGCTCAAGTTTTGAACCCAAGTCCTCTGACTCCCGATCCCACATTCTTTCTGTTGTAACATGCTGAAACAGGAGGGGACAAGATCAAGAGCATAAGTGAAAGGGTTAACTTTGGAAAAGAGAAGGCTCTGGGGCAGCTAGGTGGCACAGTGGACAAAGCTCTGGCCTTGGAGTCAGGAGGACCTGAGTTCAAATGTGGCCTCAGACACTTGACACTTACTAGCTGTGTGACCCTGGGCAAGTCACTTAACCCCAATTGCCTAACCCCCCCCCAAAAAAAAAGAAGAAAAGAGAAGGCTCACCTCTTTATCTAAGAATGGAGTATGATGAAGAGATATTTTGAGGTGTGAAATGGAGAGAACAACTATAACCTTTATTTTTTCAGTCAAGCAGGAGGTGAGGTCCTCTGCTATTAGGGAGGAGGGAAAAGGTAATATAGGAGGTCTAACAAGAGAATATAAGATTTGGAATAGCTGCTCTGGAGAGTATGGTAGTCAATGGGGGGAAGGATAAAACAATGACCATATAGTGATGAAGGCCCAGTTGTGATTAGATCTCTAGTTGTAGTGAACCCAGTCAATATAGTTGCATGGGGTCAAGACTAAAAGGCAGGAAGGGAGGCCAGAATAGGGGTGATGGATTGGGAGAACAGGGAGGATTGGAGGGCCTGGAGGTCATGATGAGGACAAAGAATAGGTTTAAGAGGAGTGAATCAAAAGGAGAAACTGAAGAATAAAAGGGGTTTGTGTTTGGGGAGAGGAATTTCAGAGCTCTGGATCAAAGAAATGAAATAATTCTGGGCGGTGGTCAGATCAACAGTAAATGGCTAAAGTAGAAGGAAGCTATAGGGTGGTTGAAGAAGAAAAAGCCTGGGAATCAGGGGGACGTTGACATATATGTTGAGGTCTCCAAATATGAAGGCAGAGGTTGGAGTGGAGAAGAATCCCAAGCCAGATACCAAACTGAGACAAGAGGGGAAATGATCAGGAAGCCAACAGATTACTGAGGAGTTGGATCAAGTAATAAAGATGGGTGGAGCTAACACTGAAAAAAGCTAGGTTTCTGATAGCCTAAGAGAATGAAAGGGGTGAAGTGATTCAGGATAAAGGAGAGTCAGTTAACAAGAGAGTGAAAATTTCAGAGGGAATTATAGAATGGAAAGACATAAGGATATGGACTGTGGACGGGTAAGGCTGAAGGGATGAAAGTATGGGGAGAGATGGATGGGGGAAAATGTTTGTCTATTGACCCTGAAGCATGGGGATAAAGAGAATGGAAGATGGGAATTTGTCCACTGTAGGTTGGCGGGTGATTAGTTAAGAGGGGGCCTCTATCCTCACTGCCTCTGACTCCCAGAGGGTGAGGATTCCTGAGAGTTCTGACACCTCAGAGGAGGAGAGACAGGGATAAGGTCTTTGGGGACTGGGCTGAACTTATA